GACATAGTTGGGAGTGTCCTGTCTATGTAGCAAAACCTAAGAGTGTCAAAACGGCTGTAGGAAGATGTTGCTGTTGACAGGGTCAATGAATTATTAGAATGCTGAGTATTAACTAAAATGTGTGAATAGAAACTGTGCTTCTAATAACCTTTGCTATTATTTTATTTTCTAATTTTAAAAGTTTTCCTTTTTTCCTTAAAAACTTTTTTTTAGATTGAAATACAGGAAACCATCATTATTCGCAGGCTTGGCATTAGCGGTTTCAAATATTCGCGAATGCTGAACCCGCATCTTAAATACACTTAAAGGAGCTCCTCGGGAGCTCCGTGCTTGCCGCCACTGGGCTGCTGCCGCTGCTGCCAGGCTCCCGCCGCTGCCAGAGCAGCCGTGCCCCCACCAGCCGCTGGGGGCACTGAGTTCATGAACACAGATGGCGTTCATGAACGCAGTGCCTTATTCGTGGGTTTCGCCATTTGCGGGGGATACGAGAACATATCCCCCGTGAATGGCGAGGATTACCTGTATTAAACAAAACCTACTGAAGGGTTATAAACTCTGATTCAGGAAAATTGTGAGAGATTATGTGCATGTGTGCGCACTGCACCCCTTCCCCCTCCCCCCTGCCAAAAAAAATAAAAATAAAAACAACTCTGAAATCCTTCATAACAATTGTGTGTGTGCTTATTAAAACTGTCTGGATCTAAGCAAAAGAAATCTCTCCAAGTTGCTGTTCTAGTAAAGGCAGTTCATTGTAGTCTCATTCTCACATATCAACCACTGCTTTAATAGGGTTACAGGCAAAAAGTTGTAGTGGGATATCATCCTTTGCTTCTCTGTCATGGGTTGTTGGGCTCACCTAGTTCTAGACCAGGTCTGTCCAACTTCTGGATGGCAGGAGGCTGTAGGCTGTATCTAGGTGGCACAGTGTATGAGCCGCACACTGCAGAGGCAGTGCTCCTGGGGTCCCTGCACTGTGCAGCCCCTCCACTTGCTGCATGTGCAGTGCATGGAGCCCAGCTCCTCTCTCAGCCACGTGTACAGCCTGGCTCCCTCCCACCCCAGGCTATGTGAGGAGCATGGCTATCATGGACCTTTTGCTGGACCCCTCCCACCACATCATGCTGCCCCAGGAATAGGGGCAGGAAGAGGCAGCTGAAAGAGAGAGGGGGAGGCTGGAGACCTTAGTTGCTGTAACAGCCAAAATAACAGGAGGAACTGTGGCCAGGTGGGAGCCTGTAGCCAGGCTGCCAGTTGGACAGCCCTGGTCTAGACTGAAGCAGTAGCATAATAATAATAATAATAACTCCTCCCTCCCTCCTGTCACAACCCAATTTCATAGTATGGATCCACAGTGAATGGAATAATCATACAGAACTTCACAATACCATATTTCAATGTACTGAAGGATTGGGGCTGGCTTTGGCTTCCTTCTCCTGCAGATGTGATTCCTGAAATCTGTACTCGATAGACAGTTTTTTCTTTAAGTCCCTGTAGCAGGTAACTAGTAGTAGAATAATTGACGGTAACAGCTGCAAGACAAGAGGGTGAGGGGATAATAACATTAATTACATTCTAGAGACAAATTCAGGCTGTACATAGGACATGCCTGCACATATGTAGTTGAGAAAGGGCACAATTTCCATGCCCTCCCCTAGCCTGGAGTACAAAGTGCAGATTCTCTATTGCTGGAGCCAACAGACTAAACACATTAGAGCAGAGGCTAGTTTTGGTATTAGTATCCATGCTTTTTTCCCAACAATTAATCAGTATTCTGACCAAACAATGTTGGCATGTGACAAACTCCCAACATAGGTAACTGCTTGGGTACTGAGCCCAGGAGTTCCAGAGCTAAAAGCATGAGTTACTAACCCAAAATACATTTATCTGGTAATTGTAGTATTGTAGATACCTGCCCTGAACCAAAGGAAGTGTTTTTCTGGAGTATGCTCTGGAGTATGCAACCACATGTACTTGTCTTGCTTGATGTCATTGGGGTACTAAAGTAACTTTTTGTGTTACAAAAGACTCTTTAACTAAATCCACAGCTCTTTTGCTTGCCTTTACTTAAAAAACTATTAGCTTTCAGACTGGGTAGTGAGCTCATGAAACTGACTTCATTGGCACCGCACCAGAACTCTTAGGGTGGAGATAGATAGAACTGCGGACATTTTCCAGGTAAAATGCACTTTTAGATATTTCAGCCAGCAGACATCTACTGTTCCTGTGCCATTCCTGCCTGGAACATTTGAAAAAGATGAACTCTTCCTCTAGTGCCAGCCAGTGGACAGCTGAAGAGGAGAGGTAAGGGGATGAAGGGAGCAGACAGCAAAGCCCAGCCTTACCACCACCGCTGCTGGGAGTCTGACACTCCAGCTCTAATCTCCTCTACCTCTCTTCTTTCCCTCTCAGAACAGCAGAGATAGAAGGATTAGGACTGGACAGTCCCAGCACCATACCTAGACTCTTAGAAGCCCTGGGTGAACTTTTAGTATTGGCCCCCCCTATTGCCAGAGAAAATGATGATAATAATTATTATTATTATTTTCATCATTTTCAGGCCCCCTTTCTGTCTAGGCCCTGGGTGGCTGCCTGATTTGCCCATGCCTTTGTCCGGTCCTTGACAACCCAGAAGTAAGGGTCCTGGAAATTGAAGGCAGGGAGGGAAAGGGGGCCAAGGCACTGGGAGGTAGGGCACTCAGCTTTGGGTGTGGGATTCCACTGGGAACCCAGCAGTGCCCCAGAATCCAAAGCAGGATTGATGGCTGGACAGCTGGCAGGTTGTGCCAGTTGTCCACCTACTTTCCCTCCCTCCCCTGTGCAGACAGAACCACAAGTGAAATGCTCCAGAATCAAACCTCATTTAAAGCAATACTATTTTGCAGTGTTTCAGCCACTTTTGGAACATTTCAAAGGGCTTGTTCATTTATGTAGCCAGCCCTCGGAAATGCCCTAAAGCAGTGCTTCGTGACTTTTCCTCAACATGACTCCATTTATGGCCCCATTTCCTCAGCATGGCCCCTCATTCCCAACCCATAGCTCCCCATTCCCGCAGCCCCATCCACTGACGTTGTGACCCCATTTGGGGTCACTACTCACAGTTTGGGAACTACTGCTCTAAAGGCATTATAGATATTTGAATTGTTACATCTGTCTGTTACATCTGTTGTAGAGAACTGTCATGCATTCTGATTCAAAGAGTCATAGATGCTTGGGTTGGAAGGGACCTTAGCAGATCATCGACTCCGACCCCCTGCCCTAGGCAGGAAAGAGCACTGGGGCCAGATGATCCCAGCTAGGTGCATGTCTAGCCTCCTCCTAAAGACCCCCAAGGTAGAGGAGAGCACCACCACCCTGGGAGGCCCATTTCAGAATTTGGCAGCCCTTCTGATCACATTAAATCACTTTGAAAGGTTTGTGGCTAAGAGAATAGTCTTTTTCCTGAAAGCATTTTTTAAATGCCAGAAATGATAAGTGGGCACCTTTATGAAATTGGATCAATTCAATGGTGAAACTCCTAGAATTTGAATTCTAAAACTCTCATTCTTTTTGATGGTCCCTTTTTTTGCAGGCTGCTATAAGTAGGCACCTACCTAAGTGGCAGCAAGAAAATGTTTTTTTCACAGCTCGCTTCTGGTGTATAAAGCAGATTTTGGGGGCAGCCATGGCAGCCCCGCCTTTTACTGCTGATTGGCGGAAGGGCCCTGGCAGAGCCACTCCTCACTGCTGATTGGTGGAGGGTGCCTTCACTCAGCCTATGTCACTACTGCTTTTTCTGCCCCTCCCCTCACCACTCACTCTTGGAGCATGCCTTCACTCTGTCTACCTCACTACCATCTCTTTTGGTTGATTTTGTGGAAAATTGTGGCCAATGTTGGATTTCCTGGCGATTGCGGACAACACTGTTTTTCATAGTATCTGTGTGATTTAGGTAGGTCCCTAGATATGTCATAGAACCCATCACTTCCTATTTTGCTTGTATGCAAACAAATTTTGTCATCAGCTTTGAGCAGAGTAATCTAGATATAAATTCAAAGATATGAAGCTAATGAGTTGCAGCTTGTAGAATGAGGACTCTTTTTGAAGACAACCGGAAAAAAAATTACAAATCGCTTTTCTTCTGATAACTGGTTTGTATTCATTATTGTCATCATCATCATTATCCATTCTTTCTGGCTTCTTACTGTATAACAAACCTTGTAATTAAGAAGGTGTCTTTAAAAATTGAGTTTCCAGGGGTTGTGTGGGAGGTGCATATATGTGTTTTGGCGATGGAGGTAATGACCAATCAGTCCTGTAATCTGCTCTGCAGCATAGACAGGAGACAGAATTTCATTTTCAGTCTAACAACCAGTGAATATCAGTCATCTCTGAAGCCAGCAATGATGTTCAGAGACAAATCTGGCTGTGTTATAGGGAGACAGAAAAATGGTGACTTAAGTAGGGTGACAATCCTGCGACAATCCTGTTTTAAACACCTGTCTTAGGTGTCCTGCTTTTTTGGGCAAATTAATGATTTTTTCCCATTTTCATTTGGACAGTCATGACTGGTGTTTAAAGCTGGATTGTTCCCATATACCTGCTTCTGCTCTCTGGTGCTCCACATCACTCTCCTCCCCACAATTCCTGCTTTCTGGAATGCTCAGTGACCAGGAAATATGGTCAGCCTAGACTTAAACCACAATATCTAAAACATTGTGAAAACATGGTGGCAGCCTATCCTTCCTTTCAGTGTTTAATAGAGACAACTATATTCTTGGCATCAGGGCTAGGGACAGACATTCAAAAAGCCTGAGCCTGAATTAATTCAGTCTTTGCAGGCTAGTCTAACCTGGCTAGGCTAGGTTTTGTAACCAGACAGATATCCCAGAAATGCAGACACATGCCTGCAGTGGCTCAAGCTAGAAGCCGGGGGGCACTAGAGCAGCCCTTCCTTCCCTTGCACAGAGGTGAGCTGAGGTGGGCGTGGCCAGGCCCCAGCAGGACACTGTGATGATTATGAAGGGTTCCCCCCACTCCTGAACAGCCCAGCAGGGAATGTTTATCACCCTGAACTCAGTATTTATCACCTCATTAAGAAAACAGAAAGACATTACCAGCTATCTGTTTATTTTGCCTTTGTTCCATGTGCATCAGCTCAGAGGTAGCCAGCATGTGGTCTGCTAGCTGATGCTGAGAGGTGTCTGTGAGGGATTGGGGAATGCCTGCTTAGTAGAACTGTGCGAAATTTTTCTGGGTGTTTCATTTCAAAGCTGTTTCGATATTTTTCGAGCTTGAAACAGCAAAATCAAAATGAAACAGAAGCCTCCAAAACAGCTTCAAAATGAAACAAGGCACACGAAACGTTTTGAAAGTTTTGAAACATTTTGAGTTTTGAAGCCGGGTTTGGCTTCAGTACTGGTCCCAGCCAACAGCAGCAGCCTCCTGACATCCTGCACAGATCTGGGGACTGCGCCCCCTGGGAGGATTCCTTGCACAGCCCCAGCCCTCCCAGGCAGTGCAGACCCCCAGATCTGAGTGCCAGATGACAGCATTCTGTTGCTGCAGGCTGGGGCCAGTGGCAGCACCGATCTTCCTGGTGTTGGGTGTGGGCTGCGCCCAGCGCTGGTCCTATCTGGCAGCAGTAGTTTCCTGTGATCCAGCAGGCAGATTGGGGGGCCCCCAGGAGGAGTCTGGTAGAGCCCCTCAGCCCTTCCGGGGGTATAGGACCCCCACCCATCTGCTTGCCAGATGACAGGAGGCTGCTCCTGCTACCTGGGACTGGCAGCAGCACCATTCTTTCCCGGCACTGGGTGCATCCTGCACCCAGCACCAGTCCCAGGAGGCAGCAGCAGCCTCCTGTCATCTGGCAGGCAGACTGGGGGGCTGCACCCCCGGGAGGAGTCTGGCACAGCCCTACAACCTTCCCGGGGGGGTGCAGACCCCTGGATCTGCCTGCCGGATCACAGAGGTGAGCTGCTGCCGCCAACAACTGACAGTTTTGCTTGTCAGCAACTTGTCAGGCTTCATGCCCTCAGAAGGGGCTACCATCCCTACAATTTTTCATCTGAATTAGGCTAGAAATGACAAAGTTATAGGCAGTTTTGTGCTTCCCCATTAAAGCCTATGGGCAAAACGCCACAACAGCGTTGAAAAAGCGAAACAGTTTCCACGAAATGAAACGAAACGAAACAATGCTTTCAAAACTAAACAAAATGAAACTCGAAACAAAGCACTGTTCCATCAAAATAGAAGTTGAAGTGGAATGCTGCTGTTTTGCACAGCCCTACTGCTTAGCAGAGAGTAGAGGCGGGGGGGGGGGGGCAGAAGCCAGGCAGATGCCTGCAGAGACCGCAGCCAGGGAGCAGCGGGGGTGGGCCAGACCCGCTGTGGAGCAGAGCACCCTGCTCAGCCCAGAGAACATGTCACGATGCTGGAGGAGTCTGATTTAACTTAAACCAGCAAGGGGTCTGGGACAGACATTGCATAAACCAGTTTGAGCCAAATCAGTTAAGTCTGATACTACATTCAACCAGGTGTATCTCAAACTGGTTTCAGCCATTTTCAAACTGGTTTATGTGCACTGAACATCTGTTCTGTTACAGGTTTAAACCAGTTTCTGATCACTTAAACTGGTTTATGTGTAATGTCTGTTCCTAGCCCAGGAGTATAAGTGTTTATTTAGTCTGAGTTTTAGTTCAGCCACTTTCATTACACTGTTAATAGTAATGCTTGCAAATGAAGAGAAATTGTGGTGAACTGAATGATGGACACCTCTGAGCAGAAAAGTGCAGCAAGTGAAATATTCAACATCACATGAATTAATTTGAATTTTGATCGGCTGTGGTAATGCTGACTCTTCTTGGAAGATTCAGTATGTTAAAGTAAATTGAGAGATGACGCTGATATCCAGAAGTCTCTAGATTTGTCCAAATGAGAAGGAACATTAAAAGTGTTCACTGAAAGTTGATCTTCTGAAACACCCAATTTCACTGAAAACAAACCAAGACAAAGTCACGTGCGTGACTGGAGGCACTAATCTAGGTTTGTATATCTAGGCAAGTTATGTATGTATGTACTACCTACTGCTGCTTTGGACAAGCATTTGCTGTCTTTTGTGTAACTGTGACCTACCCAGAGATGTTGTTTTCATTGTGTCTGTGCAGTTGATCCTATATCCTTGAAGGAAGCCCAGACAGTCTTCTGCAGGTATTGCAGTCCATCTCACAAAAGCAGAATGTTTCCTGACATTGGAAAATGTCACATTGGCTGGTCCTATTTGAGGAACTTAAAATCCAGATTATTACTTCAAAATGATGTGCTACAGTTAATTATTTTCTGAGTCTGGAAGTTGGAATAGGCAAATTTCTACAGTTGGGCAAGGCATAGTGCTTGTTTGACACAAACATCAGGGGAAGGTAAGAACAATGTTATAAAGTTCAAGTCAGAGTCCTGTGTGAAGTAACATCAAAGCAGATAGCAGTGTTAGAAATAAGTCTGCTACAACTTTGCAAGGATATTCTTGCTTACCAGCTGGTCATGATGAAATGAATGGGGCTATTTATGTAGTGTAAGGTGTTAGGAAGTAAGAAGAAGAATACCTGAATTTGGCCACAAATAAATTATTCACATTGCAAATTTGTTAAGCATGAACTCAGTCCTATTACTTAACTCAATAATTAAGCTGATGAACAGCACCAGGCCAAGGACAGACCCCTGGGAAACCCCACTTGATCCCTCCTCGCAACTAGACATCGAACCATTGTGACTACCTGTTGAACACAATAATACAACCAGTTATTAGGGCTGTGCAAAGCTTTAGTCCCTGATTCAATTCGGTGGAGATTTGGCCCGATTTGGTGGCTGAATCTCCAAATCCAAATTGAATCAGGAGACCCGTTAATCTCTCCAAATTGAATCAGAACCCTCTGAATTGATTCAGAGAGATTTGGAAAGATCTGGAGATTCAGACATAGACACAGCTTTAAATGTTTTTTCTACATACCTCAAGGTACCAGGTGGCTCATGAATGCTGTGATGCTGGGGCAGATGGAGCTTCCCACAGGAGCATGGGGGGCTCCCCAGCATGCTTGGCAGCAGACCCAGAAGTGGACCAGAAGCACTTCTGGTCCACTTCCGAGTCTGTCAGGGAGTGCGCAGGGGGCCCCCCCCGCCCAGCTCAGCGACTGGGTCCACTTCTGGGTTTGCCACTGAACATGCTGCTCCCTCTCCCCCACGCTCCTGTGGGATGCTCCATCTGGCCCATCATCACGGCATTTCCAAGCTGCACCTGGTACCTTGAGGTATGTTGAAAAAACATTTAAAACTGTGTCTATGGCCGAATCTCTGATTCTCTGAATCAGCATCGAATCTTCAGATTCGGCCGAATTGAATCGGGGACAGCGATCCGAATCAACTAATCGAATCACTGTCCCCGATTTGGGCTGAATCCAAATCTGAATCGAATACAGCACGCTTCATACACCCCTACTAGTTATGTAGCCATATGCATTCTAGGCTGTATTTCCTTCACTTGTTAATAAGAATGTTGTGGGAGACAATGTCAAAAACCTTGCTAAAGTCAAGTTATATCACATCCACTGCTCTCCCCCCATCCACAGAACCTATCACCTTATTATAGAAAGAAGTCAGGTTGGTCAGACTTGACTTGCTCATGGTGAATCCATGGTGGCTGTTTCTGATCACCTTGTTGTTCTTTAGGTGCTTCACTACAGATTCCTTGAGGACCTGCTCTATGATCTTTTCAGGTATCCGAGGTCAGGCTAGCTGGTCTCTAATTCCCTGGATCTTCCTTCTTTCTTTTCCTAAAATTGAGCACTATTTGCCCTTTTCCAATCATCCAGGACCTCACCTGACCTCCATGAGTTCTCAAAGAGGATAACTAATGGCTCTAAGATTACCTTGGCCAATTCCTTCAGTACCCTAGGATGTATCCCATTTGGTCTTACCAATTTAAAAACATCTAGCTTCTCTAAGTAATCCCTAACCTGTTCTACCATTGACCTAGGGCTTTGTCTCCTTCCCTATCTTTGCTGTCAACTGCATTTGTCATCTGGTAGCTTCCTCTATTTGTGAAGACTGAAGTAATAAAGGCATTAAATATTATTGCCTTCTTTGTATCAGCCATAGCTAGACTGCCTTCTGCATTCCATGAGGGACCTCTGGTTTCTTTGGTCTTCCTCTTACTTTTGACATATTTGTAAAATCCCTTTTTAGTGTCTTTTATGTCCTTTGTCAGTTGCATCTCAAATCATGCCTTGGTTTTCCTAATTTTCTCCCTGAATGCCCATGTGACACTCTAATACTCTTCTTTACTATTCACACGTTAGGACTCGATCAGACTTCTACTCGTTAGGATTCTTTCTTGAGTTTCAGCTCACCGAAGAGATTGTTGTGTAACCAGGTTGGTTTATTGTACTTCCCATTCTTCCATCATATCAGGATAGGTTGTGCCTGTGCCTGCGCCCTTAGAAAAGCCTCCTTAAAATACAGCCATCTCTCCTACCCTTCCAACTTGCTTCCCAGGGGATCCTGCCCACCAGTTCCCTGTGTTTGCTAAAGCCTGTATTTCTGAAGTCCATTTCCTTTACTCTGCTGCTTTTCTTTCTTTCTTCCCTTAGGATCTTGATCTTTATCATTTTGTGGTCAGTGTTACCCAAGTTGCCTTCCACCTTCCCATTGTTAATCAATTCTTCCCTTTTCATGAGCAGGGATACATTTTTGTCTTAAATATGTCTACAGAGACAAGGTACCTATTGTCAGAGAGCAATATAATATTTGCTCACATCAATGCATTCTGGCTTGGATCAGGGGCATGACTGAGTGGAGAGTAGTATGGTAATAAGTTACCCCCAAAAAGAAATTTGTGATTCTAGGAGTTCGTGAATCTAGGAGTTTTTCTTCTTCCATTTCCTTTTTATCAGTCATAAAACAGGGACTGTGAAATACCTCCTTCAACTGAGTAGAAGTGAGTGGCTCCAAATGTCCTTTCATGTCTCATGAAATTTTCGCATTGACATGTATCAGATGCATGAACCATTATTTTGTACAGTACATATGGTTGCAGATGGCCTAGAAGACAAATAAAGCTGAATCAGTGACTGATTCTCTCCTGAACAAGAAAAAAACTTCAAGATTTGGGTAATTTTTTTTATATGCTTGGTTCTGTCTTAGGTGAGGGAATGACTTGATGACACTTGGGTGTGTTTTTCCCCATACTCAGAAAAAAGTGTAACACAGCCTGACTTTTATAGAATATTGACTTTATTTGTAGTCTGCCTTTGTAAGGACAGAGCCATCATGTCAAAAGCAGGAAAATAAAATGTCTGTAGACCTCTTGGTTCAAGGATTTTCTGTCTGGCACTATAAAAAATCAGACACAACCAGGTAGTGCAAGTAATAAGAGGATAAAGGAAAAAAGCAGATGAATTACAGATAACATTTCAATTATGAACCTCAGATCAGAAGTCCTCCAATGTACATTGAAGCTAATCCTGATTGATCCTAGCCAGAGCCACCTATGTGATCCCAATCGATAGGCAGGATGAAAGTCCTGTAAACTCTTTCCGAACAGAAGCTCTTTGCACATAAGGAAGATATGCTGCCTAGCAAGCTAAGTATTGTTGACATGACAAGGGCAAATTAAAAAAAAAAGAGATGAAATGTCACCTAGTGGGAAGCTTTTGCAAGATCACTTGTGGAAGCAAATTTTACCAGAACAAGTAGTAAAAGGATGTTCTGGATTTGAGGGTGGGAGAGAAGGTAAAATAGCTGCATTTCTTTACTGAGCATGACCAGAAAAATTCCTACTGAGGACTGTTGCTGATGGATGTTGTTTGGGAGTGTTCAGCACATCTGAAATTGGGCCTTTATCTATGTATGCAGAACAAGGAGTGCGAAATGGTGGTAGAGCAGGGAATTCCCTAGGTTTTCAGCTGCGTTCTGGCTTTTAAAATGAATGAAAGAAAAGAACGTATTTCATGCATGCTTACTGAACAACCAGTGGAAGAAAGTTGACGTTACCTAGTGTGAAATTTTCCACTGGCTTAGTGATTATTTTCATGTGCATATCTTCTTTACCGGTGCCCCAGTCAACTATAAAACATTGTGGATTGTATTCTGGAGTCCAGGTGATAACAGTATTATTTCCCTGTGGTATGGCATTGAGTTGGACCAGCACTGTGGAACAATATAATATTTTATAGATCAATAAAAAGCAAAGTAAATCTTTTAAAATAATTTTCACTGAAGTCATCATCCCAGTACTTAAAGCAGTGGTGGTGATGTATTTTTAAAAAGTTTCAGGCCATCTTAAGGTCTGCTGCTTTGCAGTGCTGAGTATGGAAAAGCAGGGTTGACGTCTGGTTGTGGCCTCTTATCTCATACAGCCAGCAAAGAGAAGACACAAAGGGGAGACTTTAGAGAGAGAGGGAGTTTATTGTTTTGCTCAGCAGCAACTGTCCTCAGCAGAAGTTAACTGCTGAATAGAGTGCTGTTAGGTTCAACATCTTTGGTCAAAGAGTGACTGTCACATTAACCTTTGAGGATTCAGAGGAAAAATGTGTCTAATTTTTTCCTTATGTATAAATTAAATCTGATGCAACCCCCTTAATAATAATAACAAGGCAGAGTAACTGGCTTGAACTAAGAGGGAAGAACAACAACTTGTTAGACATGGATAAAGGGAAACTTTATGGCTGACAAAAGATAGAACAGAGAGCTTTTCAAGCTGAAATGCAGTATGATAGTTGTTCTAAGGCAGAGTTAAGTAGAGTGACTGAAGACTATCTGGTTGCTCCAAGACAAAGTACATCTGGGAAACAAATTCAGTGTCTGTATCATACCAGTAATGCTTCTTGAATGTGCCAGGCCTTCACGTGAGACAAAGTAAAGGATGAAATATAGACAGAAAATACCATGAAAAATAAGTGTCTAAAAGGAGTAATGAAGATTAAGTTCATAGATTCATAGATCGTTAGGGGCTGGAAGGGACCTTGCAGAGCATTGGGTCCAGCCCCACCCCCCGCTGTAGGCAGGAAGACAACTGAGGTTAGGTGACCCCAGTAACATGACTGTCCAGTCTTCTCTTGCAAATCTCCAGGGTAGGTAACTGCACCACCTCTGGAGGGAGTTTATCCACAGTCTGGTCACCCTGAATGTGAAGGAGTTTTTCCTGGTATTAAGCCTGAAGCAACCTTCCAGGAGTTTGTACCCATTGGTCCTGGTCTTCCCCGGGGGTGCTCTAGTGAGCAGTGGTTCACCAAGCTCCTGATGCGCTCCTCTGATATAGCAGTAAGCTATCAAGTCCCCTCTCAACCTTCTCTTCTTTCGGCTAAAGAGACCCAGGTCCCTCAGCCTTTCCTTGTATGGCTTGCCTTGCCAGTCCCTGATCATACGGGTGCCTCTTCTCTGGACCCTCTCAAGTTTTTCCAGGTTGATCCATTCAGTCAACAAATGACTACCAGTAGAATGATACTGCAGAAAAGACTGAAGTTGGAAGAATAATATATTTTTCAGTGTCAGGAAAATGTAGAGGAAAATGGGTGAAAACTAAAGTAGTCAAGGTTCAGAGACAAAAAGATTGCTCAGAAGTAGTGAAGTAGTGAAAATTCTTGCCTTGCTAGAAAATTCTAGTGGTGGATAGAAAAAGCTAGGAAGAGTTAACATCAGACACATCAGTGGGGCAATGATAGCGGTAGCTAGAGGCTGTTAGCCCATAAGAAATCCTGCCCTAGAAGAGCAAACTGTCATAACAGTAAATAGATTCATTCAAACTGTAAAGTCTTTAACAGCAAATGACTTAGACTGAACCATATTATAAAACAGTAACTCTTCTATTGCTAAATATTTAAATTGTTAGCACCTAAATATACCAGTCCTGTTACAAATGGCACTGCACAAAGCAAACAGGCCTTAGGCATAGGAAGATATTGTCTTTGCCCAAGAAATGGGTAGTTACATGCAGTAGCTGCTGTATACTGTGATGTTTAAAAGTGTCTGATTTCTCCTTTCCCCCATCAAATGTAGAGACAAAAAGCATGAATTATCTTGTAGAAAATGAGGAAGCGATGGTCAGAAACTAGGACAGAAAGAATCTTAGCTGTATTTTGAAGAGAACAGAGGGGAGAAACATGGCTGCCAGGCAGCCAGAGAGAAGAGTTTATAGTAATCAAGATGAGAGTATAAGTTATTACAGTTTGTAACATTTTTGATCTACACACATTAATGTTTATAGCACATTGGAACAGGGAGCCTGGGGCTCCTGTTACTTGAAGGGAAAAAACATTGCGGAGAGGATCCCAAAGCTCCTCCAACCCACAGACCACTATCCCATGCTCCTTATTCATGTGGGCACCAATGACATGGCTCGGAGTGCTCCCAGCCGGGTCATGAGGTGCTACAGGGATTTGGGAGCGGGGCTAAAGGGTCTGGGGGCACAGGTGGTGTTCTCATCAATCCTCTTAGTCTCAGGCTATGGGCTGAGGAGGGAGAGGAGGATCCACCTGGTCAACCAAAGACTGCAGTGCTGGTGTCGTCGGGAAGGCTTTGGCTTTCATGACCACAGCCCGCTCTTTGGTGAGAGAGGCAGCGAGCTGCTGGGAAGAGATGGCCTCCACCTCTCTCCCCTAGGGAGGAGGCTCTTCTCAGCCAGACTGGCTGACCTGCTCCAACAGGCTTTGAACTAAGCCCGCTGGGGGACTACTGCCACTGCTGGCCCGCTGAGCAATCCTTGCAAAGCCAGCAGTTCAAGGCACTTAAGGGAGCCCACCCCTGCCCCAGCCCTGGTAAAATCTGTGGGCAAGGAAGGAGCCCCCCAAGGGGACACTTGCCTGCCTGTACACAAATGCCAGGAGCTTGGGGAATAAGCAGGAGGAGCTCATCCTCCTGCTCAATGCAAATAATTATGATGTCATAGGGATAACGGAGACCTGGTGGGACTCCACCCATGACTGGACCACGGGTA